TTATTATTATTATTATTATTGTTATTATTATTATTATTATTATTATTATTATTAATCCATCAGATTTTAATGGCTAATATAATAAAATTTCAATTTAATATTCAAATATAATGTTTTGAAAATTATCAATGTATAGTATATTTTTATACTTACCGACTATCGATAATAGTAAATTTTTGTGTTGATGGTGGTCGGTAAGATAGATTTCGTTATTTCCTTTTAAAAATAGAAAAAAAGTGTATACAAATGTTTACATTGAATTTAATCTTTTTTTCTTTCTTTATTCTGTTAATAAATATATAAAAATGTTTACAAAGCTCGATAGAGTTAAGTCAAATATAAAATAATAGAAAAGGTTTATAAATATATAGTTCGTAATTATCATAGAATTCACTTATGTTTTTATTTGTATTAAATTTTTAGGATATTTGTGAAGAAAAATTAAACCATTTTCTTTTTTTTATCTTTAAATTATGTATTACGTTTAATATGTTATATAGTTTTTTTTTAAAAAAGAAATATATATATATATATATATATATCAGGGAGGTAGAGAATGATAGTTCCTAGTCGTTTACAAACGTTTCTTAGAAAACCCATAAAAGTTATTGCAGATATAATTATTGACTTTTTTTTTGTTTTTTTGTTTTTTCTTAATATATATCGATATATTTCATTCGACGATGGGAAGAAGTATCAGGATGATGATTTTGGTATCTAGTGTTTTCCACTATAACTTGTTTTTTCAAGTCAACCGGTAAATCGTTCCAGACTTCTTGCGGAACGGAATCTGAAAGAAGATAAGATAAGTTGTATAATACACAAAATAAATATATATAAACTTAAATAAATAAATTAAACTTGTAACAAATTGAAATATACCTTTACAGGTATAGAGTAAATCGGACCAAGTGATTCTTTCCTGTGAGAAACAATAAACGCCAAGCCTGCCACCTTGCAAAGTGGAATCATAAATGTTTCCCGAATCTGTGATAAGTTTGTTGCCCTGATGAAGCCAAAATCTGATCAAACCTACGTGTGGTCTGTGCAACAATTGCCACCTGTACGGTACCCTTTGTCTCCAACCATATTTGCTTGGTTCTCTCCATAATATTTTCATTTGATTAGGCACGTCTTGATTATGCCAAAGGCTATTTCTAAGTATTACACCGGGTCCAGTTTCCGAGTCAACGAGCCTTAGGAGGATACCAGAATCACCAATAGCACGGAACGGTGTAGTTTCCCAATACGGTTGATCAGCTTTTTTCCACGTTACTGCGTAGAATCTACGATTGCTTTGGCAAGAAAATACAAAGCCAACGTAATCGTCATCGTTGTCGTCGTCTACGTAAAATGTACCCTCGAAATCGACCCCGGCAAATACGTCAGGTCCTACGTAGAATATAATAATAATAATAATATTACAGGATGTGAACACCAAATGTTCGCGAGTCTTGAAACTGAATAATATTTTACTTGCTTATAAAGTAAAATTTCATTGACTTCAACAATATTGGATTATCCGAATTATAACGTAATAATAATTATGCATGAATTTAACGATGAAATAACTGACCTATGGCAAATCCAGGATCGCTATTAAGTGTTTGTTGTATTTCAGCACCGTTGTGACGTATTATCCAAGATGGATCCTCTTGGGAATCACCGCTAGGATCTAAATTGATGGTAACGTATTTACGAAAATCCGTGGCCCATATTTGACTATTGTTAGGACAATTGTCGAGATAATTGATGACGGTGTCGTTGTCATAATCGTTCCAACAAAGATCACCTATACCATCCTTGTTAATATCCTCTTGATATGGATTATAAACGAAAGGACAATTGTCACGAAGATTTTTTACCATGTCCCCATCAATGTCATCGTCACAGGCATCACCGATCCTATCCCGATCAATGTCACCTTGGCCAGGATTTGCAACGTTAGGACAATTGTCCCGATCGTCTTGTATGCCATCCAAATCACGATCGTTGTCGTTGTCGCATAAATCACCAACGTTGTCGCCGTCGCGATCGTTTTGATCAGGATTAGGCATGTAAGGACAATTGTCACATTTGTCACCGATCCCGTCGTTGTCGGTATCGATTTGATCCTTGTTTTTTATCTTAGGACAATTGTCCACGTGATTTAAAATGTCTAACGGAAATAAAAAAAAGGAACAAAAAGTTTTGAGGTTAGGTTAAGTTAAGTTAGGTTAGGTTAACGAAAGTTAGGTTAGGATTGAACAGTTTTTAACTTAAGACGAATTGTTATTACAACAATTCGATTGGATCATCTTGAATTACTGAATTAATTGAAAAACAATTTGTACTTACTATCGTTATCGATGTCATCGTCACAGTCATCACCAATACCATCGCCATCGGTGTCCCATTGACGCGGATTGTTAACAAATGGACAATTGTCGCAGATATCACCAATACCGTCCGATCCGTCACGATCGTTGTCTTCCTGGCCTGGATTATGTACCCAAGGACAATTGTCCGATGAATTTAATATACCATCGTTGTCGGCATCTTCGTCGCAAGCATCACCTATACCATCATTATCAGCATCCTCTTGACCACTATTAGGTACCAAAGGACAATTGTCTATTCTACAGGAATGATCGTGACAGTTTAAGGTTTTATCCGGGACACCATCGCTGTCAGTGTCCAATGCACAATAGTGTCCGTTACCAGCCCAACCTACTCGACACTGAAATTAATATACAGGTTAAACCCTTTTACAATATGGAATAATATAACACAGTTTCGTTTTAACACATTTTCATTAATTGCGGTAACCATCCTACAACACGGTATCCTTTAACACAATTTCGATCTAACGCGATAGAAACAAAAATTCCGACAGATCTTGATACAGCACTGGATAATACAATGGTTGGTTAACATATTTAAAAATTAAATTACCTTTAAATAATGACGCTAAGGAATAATGAATTTTAGGTCGTAGGAACCTATTTACCGTGTTATAAAAAGGCTACCTGTATTTCTTTCCCTAGTAGGGAAAGGGAGAATTTTGGTTAAATCATATTTACCCTACACATGTAATCGTTCAAACTTATGCAAATGCAGTAGGCATTTGAATCACAAATGGTCGACATGTCCGGACAAAGTTCTTGACTAGGACGACATCCTGTTGTCTCATTGCCGACAAAACCATTCCTACAGGGTCCGCATCTGTAAGAACCCTGGAAAATCAATTAGAAAACTTCGTGAACTTCGTCTTTATCCAGTCGATTAGGTTCAATAATAAAAACAGTAAATATATGTTTTTACGTACTTCTGTGTTAATACATTCTGAATGTATGTCACATCCGCCATTATTAATCTCGCATTCGTTGACATCACGACAGATTTGTTTTCGATTCCTAATCATTTCAATACCAACACCTTCGAACGTCGAACCTGTGTATCCTGGAGGACAGGATTCACACCTGAATCCAGGACGTAGGTTCGTACATCGTACACCAGGAAAACAAGGACGTGCTAACTCGCATTCGTTCAAATCTTGACATGACGTACCATTACCTGTGAAACCAGCTGGACAACTTCCGCATCTATCACGAAGACAAATTTCACAATTGATTATACTGAATAATTTAATTCTATTGTTGATTTTTTCTTTTTT